GCTGTTCTGAGCACTTCTTTTTATTAGTGCCAGAAATAGAAGTAGTAGTCGGAGGTTCATTTGAGGGACCGGAGTGCTGATAATCGTGTTTGTAGCCGGTGTCTTTTTCCCAAAGTTTTCGTTTATGCATCCGTGTCAAATCTGGACCTATAAATGAGTTTAGGTTTCGCAGATTTCTGTTTAATTCAGGGATTTGTTCGAAAAGCTCAGTTTCGGTCTGTGAGTAGAAGGTTATCAAGACGCGTTTATTTTTGATTCTAGAGTGAAGTCTTTTGGTGGTAACTATGCGGATGTTTAGGCCACACGAATGTATATATTTTTGAATTGACGGTGTTGGGTTAACCGTGTGGGGTATATTGCAGATAATAAAATTGAGTCGGCGTTTTGATCTATCCGCGACGTCTGACGAAACTAAATGTACAATCGATTCTATTTGTGATAGGTGCGTTAGGCTGTTATTGAATGTATTTGAGTCTGTTAGTAAGTCGAGAATCGTAAAAATGTGTTATGACGTCCGACGGAATGCCTTCTCCCGCAGGGTCATTGAGGCATGGAACGGACTCCCTGATGCGGTGGTTCTTTCCGAAACTGTCAAATCCCTTAAGTGTAGACTAGATGCTCGTTTGCCGAGAAACTACTGTAGATATAATTAAGATTGTTTTAGCGGCGGCAGTTTGCGCCTAGCTCACGCTTACCGCTGACTTTTGAATTTCCGCATTTGCTGATGTAAATGATGATTTTATTTCTGTTTATCGATATAGATAGAGAGTCCAAGGGCGAAAGCCTCATTACCTTAATAAACTGACTTGAGCTGGCTATGACTCTCGACAAATTTTCTGTAAACGCACGATGGCCGAAAGATCTACTTTGTCGACAGCAAAGGTAACATCGGTCATGGTTAATCGGAGAGTGTATAGGGATTTATGTTATTTTCGACAGCTACTCAAAATCGGTTGAAAATTGACAGTGAAATATGCCAAAGATTTTAATTATAAGCAAATTTCGACTTATCTGAGATCTGAGGATTTTAAACGGTTATGCACAAACGGGCTGAAACGGGATTAAACAGGAATTTCGCCAAATGAGAAAACTTAGACGGGAATTTTCGCTTGTTGGGAAGTGATTGCGACTCGCTAAATCATTGAATGGATTGGAATTTAGAAATGCTCACCTAATTCCGAAGCAGAGTTTTGCATATCGGTATGACAGAAAACACGTGGCATATTAAATAGCTTCATTCATACGGAAAGTAGCAGTTACACGTCAAGGCTGAATTCTTGCAAATCCGCCAGAAAACAATTGCCTCCCAGTGGGTTCGTGCTAGCCGCCACCTTGGGTGTCTCTATACCCATTGTTTGATTACATACGTAAAGAACCTACCCGTAGGAACTTCTGGACTCAAAATAGGCATTTACCTTTCAGACGAATCATCTGCAGCTTCGTATGATGTTGATGGGACAGAGCATTCAGATTTATCAACGGCAGCATAGTATACCGGCATGTCCCGTTTAATGTACTTGTAAATAGTGCTCCGGTAGTATCAGAAGTTGTTACGCTGCATATAATCTTTCCATGGATAAGAGAAAAGTAATGCACAATGGGTCTATGTAAAACATAAACTTGTGACTTTCTCCAGTTACGACTCAACTATTAAACCTAATCAGCACCCAGAACTTTAAAATAAAACAGTAATCACAATAATATGAGTTAGCAAACATTAAAAACATTAAAAGGATTTGGTTTTATATGCGTATGTTGCAACAGCTGTTTGAAATAAAAAAGGCAATCGAAATACGAACAATGTTCACCATGCAGCCTACTCAGCAGATTAGTGCTCAGCATGTGATCCCCTTTAACAAAGCCTCCTTGTTAATCATCAATGGAAGAACTACCAGAGAAGGCTTAAACGACAAATTTACACGTTATTGATTTTTTATTTAGGACCAATTAACTTGTCTTTTGCGGTAAAGTGGACTTCTGTACGCGGTAAAGTACCTCTTCGTTATTCATGAGACATGCATTAGATTATGGGGCATTCCTCCTACCAGCCCCCTCCTGGTCCAACAAACCGAAGGGACCACGTGCTGGAGGGGATAGTTCCGCCTCCCACATATTTACGTGCGTTTCGCCATCGAAATGCAATGAAGACCCGCTGGGCTTCTGCCGCTGAGCAACGTTGGGAGTTAAATAAGAAGTCGGATTTCAACGCTTCTAGCAAATAAGCACGTTGAGAAGAGAGAGAGAGAGAGAGAGAGAGAGAGAGGAATGCGCTTTGTTTTGAAATCAAATGTTCAAAATTATCAGCAAAAAGTTGGCTCCATTCACTATGGGCAGTATATAAGTTAATAGATTATTCAAGAGTCAAAGTTTAACACAAAGAAACTATTATTATGGGGATAGTTCAGGTGTTAGCTTCTGTATTTCTGTTTCTTCGCACGTAAGATAGCGCGCTAGGAATGGCAATACAGAAGCTCGATAAGCCGATGTGCGACAGGATATAAGACGGAAGTTGCGGCGCATCGGGCGAGAAGACTTGGCAGACATAAGATCGGAATGTAGGGGATGGGCAACGTCATCTAGAATTCGACCAGCAAATTGCTTGACCGCATTGAAGTGTCGTTGTAAGATAGTGTCAACTAAAAAAATATAAGAAACGCCAGCAGCAGAAAAGAGCATGCGGAGGATTCGTTTCAAAAGTAAAAGATCCTTTTTTAACAAAGCAGGAAAAATGACAGGAGAACAGTATAGGATAAGAGGATAAGAGGCATCAATGAATCGCCAGACTAAGGGTTGAGGTGTGTGGTAGGAACGAAAACGACGACTGTAGTAAAGAAGTTTACGAACTTTAATAAATAGGGACTCAATATCGAGGGAAAAAGAAAGATTTGAAGACAAAGTAACGCCGAGATACCTGAAAGAGGATACCTCATTAGGAAGAATGTCAGAGGAATCAGGGTTAGGAAAGGGCCGCAGTCGAAAAATACACTGAACGCATTTTTGGTTGTTAATTAGGAGACCATTTTCCTCCGACCACGCTAGGACATGGTTTAGGCCATCCTTTAGAGACCGGAGGTGTGTCTGACTTTTGAGAGGGTGTCCAACAACCACATCGTCAGCATACTTGACCAGAAGACAGTCATTAGGGGACCTGAGATCATCAGTGTGGAGGGAGAAAAGGTGAGGGGATAGAATGGAACCTTGAAGAATACCGCAGTCATTGGGAAGGGTCGAAGATTTCCGCTTGCCAGATTGGACAAATTGGGTGTGGAAGGTAAAATAATCGCTCAGCCAGGAGACGACCCAGCCTGGAGAGCCACATGCGGAGGTTTTGGAAAGGAGAAGAGGGCGCGGGACGGTATTGAAGGGGGAGGAGTAATCAAGAAAACCGCACGCGTACTTGCGGCAACCCTTGTCTAATGCTTTTAGAGCAGAGTGGACCACAAGAACGACAGCATCTATAGTACTCCGTTTAGCTTTGTATGCAAATTGTAAGGGGTCGGAAAAACTGGAAGAAAAAGGCTTTATGATATCTAGGGCAACTCTTTCAGCAAGCTTTAGTATTGCAGAGGAGCAGGCGATTAGGTGAAAAGATTTCGGACCAAAGTTAGCAGGCTTTTTAGGGGTGGGAGTGATTCTCACTGTACGCCAGGCGTCGGGAATCTTGGACTACATGAAAGACACATTGATTAGGTGCGTTAAAATAGGGGCTATCTGAGAAATGCAAGATTTAAGAAGAAAAGGCGAGACACCATCCGGTCCGGCAGCTGTTGATTCACGGACCTTTTTAAGGTGTTTCTCTACTGTTGCCAAAGACACGGGTTGGAATGTACTCGGTGATAGGGGAATGTCGTCTAAGGGAAGAAGAGGGTCATTGTGACTAAATATAAAATTTTTATTTAGAGAGTCTAAATCTGCATCCACATGCACCAGCGTGTTGCGATGGCCAGTGAGACGCTTAAGATTTTTCCAAATCTCAGATGAGGAAGGGGGGAGTAAGAAGAGGAAAAAAGTTGGCTGACAAACAGGCTATTTAGCCTGTCAATCTCTGTTTTTATTAAGACGGTAGCGTCCTTAAGGTTATCACGTAAGCCTAGCTTGTAAAGGAGTTCTTTTTTACGTCTTAACGATTTCAGATAGGGGGAAGAAATTATATCCGGTCGTACCATAACAGTATCAAAAGGGCATCAAATATCGAAAATTTCATTTAAAAACGCTGTCAGGTTGGAAGAACAGGATTCAACATTAGAATGCTCAAGAAAAGTGGGGATTGTAAGAGAAATGCAAGTCTGAAGCATGAGAATGTTTTGGGCGGACGTGTTGCGAACCTTAACCTTTCTCTCAGGCTTGGCAAGCAGTGCACGTTTTGAAGTGGAATAGATTTTTGGAAGAGAGTTTCGAAGTCGCCTACGTCAATTTTGACGAACCACAGGCAATACTTCATGCGGCAGCACCAAACGACAGTCAGTGAGTCTTACACTTTGCGAAGGTCATAACCCAAGCGTCTGTATAGTCAGTTCATCAGCAATAAGGCTAAGAAGACAACGATGCACACGAGAGCCTGTGGAAAAGCCAACAATTAAGTAGGATGGAAAAGGACAAGGCAGATATGAGAATGTGAGGTAAAAAGCGATTCGCAGGCAGACAGGGTGGACGACCAGACGTCGAACTGATGATAGGAAGGACGTTTCGTTTTCCTTACAGCTGGTTTAGACCTCAGCAGCATTTTGGCACTCGCCTCTGCGACTGTAGTCAAAAGGTATTATACAAGACTTACATTGATGGAAAGATCGCATATCGAAATAGAGGCTCGAGACTCCTATTAAGTAAGGCCTAAGATAAATCTACATGCTAATGTCTTATCAAGAAAATCACCTCGGTGTTTAAATGAGCTAACGCTCTAAGCAGAATTGGTAGAACTTCGTCTCCGAATAGGAGGTCATATAAATACGTAGAACGCGGCTTCCGTGGTCCCCTGCGGTGTTTACGTTGGCGGTGGGACGATGGAGTTGGCAATAGGCAATGTCGTAAGTGTCTTTTTGTTTCCAAGCACGTGTTCATTTAGACGTACAATCTTACAAACTTGCCTGAAGAAGAGGTCGCGAGACTTAGGCACATGAAAGTACACGAGGAACACCGCGGGCACGAAGCAATGCATCTGGAAATGTTTCTGATAGTGGTGCTGTCTTCCTTTGCCGCCCAGTTTGCCTTGATGGCTTGGAAGAAGTATCACTATAAGACATACCATAAGGCCACGCTTCTTGGTATGTGGGTCTTTCCGCTGATATATAGCATATATATGGTTTACGTACGCTTCGTCATCGTTTGGACTCTTTTCTCGCTAATGACGGGGGTCATGGTGTATCTAAGTTCGCGACCTCGCATCAGCACATCTACACCAAGGTACTTACCTTTTCACCTATGCACCGTTTTCTTTATTCATCGAAAGATGGTCTATCCGCGGAATACTAACTAAAACAAAAGGGGTCACCCTTTTATTGGGGAATTCCCCAATAAATGCGAACTAAAAAACCGCACAAGCCTTCAGCATGCCCATTTCTCGAAGCGGTTTCATTAGAGTAACATTAGTGACTAGTCGGTGTTGGTTCATTCGCTCGGTTAAGCCGCCACACAGCCCTTTTGGATAACATCACCTTGCCCGTCATCGTCTACCCTTAGAATTAATAGAAACCCAGACGGGATGTCTGGCCGCCTCTAGCCTTCTGTTTGACGTGTTCCAACGGGGCTTTTATTGTGAGATGTGCCTCTACACATAATGGGTCTTCGTTAACTATCGTACTCGCTAAATGGTTTATTTGCGTACTCGAATCGGATGTTGAAGAGCAGAAACTGGTTGTTGATATTGCCATAAATTTATTGTTTGAATTCAGAATTCAAGAAGGCTGAAAAGATAGTCTCCATGGCCAGATAAGTAGATGTTGGGTTAATTAAAGGTTTAACAAGGTCAACGCAGACCTGTAGCTAGCGTGGCATTGTTTACATATGCGCAGGCAGACTTGTCTACTTCATGGCCTAGCATAGATACGAAATACAATCTTCTACTCGGCGAAGGAAGAAAACCAGGTTAAGAAGTAGGGGTAGCATTCAATGTGTAGATTAACTGGTCACCCATTTTTACTGGGAAGGCCACTTCTTCACTGAAAGCTCAGTAGGCTGGCGAAAAACGATGAGTTTGTGCATGACGTTGCTTCTCTCCGTCTAAACTTGTTTCCAGCGGTCTGGGACGTTGAATATGTATTAAATCGCTCTTTTTAGGCGTGTCTACTGGTGGTTTCTTCTGCTGCACAAGATTTTCTACACCATGTCAGTTGGAGGTTATGTGGTTATCCTGCTGGCTATGTTCGTCCCGGACCTCTTTCCGCCAGACGTGGTTTTCGTGCATGCTGGCTTTGCAATGCTCTACGGTATCTACTACGGTCTGATTGCGCGAGACTTCGCTGAAGTCTGCACGGACAAAATGGCTGCCCATATTGGCGTAAGTTATGCCTCCCATAGTTCTTGCCTGTCGCGTACTATTTACCCACCGATAGTCCAAGGACAGCTAACCGCAGCAGTTGTCGGTTTTCTACTAATTGATGTCTTCAGCTGCGCAGAAGGATTTTGGGACTCGTCTGCTATAGGACACTTCGAATTTTCGTAAATAAAATAAACTGTCTTGATATCACACGATAAGTCGACGGCAAGCACGTCTTTCCCTTGTAAGGTTGATTTCTTTAATAAAAGATGCTGGATAGAAAAGTTTCTAAGCTCTTCGGAGGGTCGAAATGTCCACGTCTTGTTTGAATATCTTCACACCTTTATTTCGCGAAAATGCGGTTGCTGTTAGTCTCGGTTTGCTCTCCTTCGATATAACTGTAATTCGTTTTCAGGCTAATTTGCCTCGAACGCCTACACATCTGTAAGAAAATGAATACTTATTAAAGTCTATTAGTTATGAGCAAACTTGTTAGACCTTTGTACGTTGTTACCACTCATACTTATATGCATAGTTTTTCTAGGGTAACTCAAAGCGTCCTAGGTTTCGCCTATTCATATCATAGGTTGAGTATGCATCCCCGTTATATGCGCTGTTTCTGGAGAATAAATCACACCTTGGAGTGTTACTACTTGGGTAGCCTAAGCCCCCTCGTCAATATCTAAAGCCAACATTCTTATTTGTTTGACGCGGCTTCCATCACACGACCGACTACTTTTAGGTCGCCTGTATTCCATTAATTATGTTAGGGGTTAGACAGGGCGTTCCCTTCACCAAACTGGAAACCGAATGAGCAGAAAATAAGACGTCAGGTTGGTACATCAAGCGATCTTAATTTCCCGTCGAGGATTTCGTAGCCAACGTGAATGCATTCTGTTCGACTTATACGTAATTCACACGACCAAAATTTAAGAACGTCCGGTGCACATTAATTGACACGGTCTGTGATCATGGTTTGATTACCCATTCATACTGTTAACAACTCATCCGCCTATAATAATCAGATAATATTTTGTTCCAAATTTAAATGCTCCACCCTGTGTGGCTGTTTTTAAATTAATTGAATATCTTCCGAATCAGCGATCAACATATTGACTTTTATCACATCTTATTTCGCCTGTTTTGTTGGGGCAGCTGCTGTATGAGCCGCTGCTTTTGGGTTAAAATGTTCTGTGATAGTTTAGAGAGGTGCATAGTGCATTCCTGATTGCTCTACCTAGTTACAGGACAAGTTGGTCCAAACAAGGCCTTGTTATCTGACACCACAATCTTTCTTTCGAACTATCTTTTAACAATTCTCCCCAGCGTCCAGATCATCTTGAATTTCCAACCCTCCTGTGTCACGTTGTATGTCCATAAGCAGTTTAACATGGATTTTAATTTGTGATCGGGCACTGGGAGTCGGCACTGGGGCGTTTTTCAGAAAGCACACTGAAAAATAGGAGGGCGGAGCCCAACTTAATCACTAGGTGGTCACACCTAAACTGGTTAGAAACGTTCGTCTCTGTCTTCTGGCCCTTACCGGCACCTCTTCTCTGCTAATCCTTTCTGACGGGCCATTGTCAATAACGTGCGTCCCAGAGGAACGTATTCTGTGTTACATGAAAACCAGATCTGTGAGCATTCCTGCATGGATATTTTCGGTCGTTCCATGGACCCTTGAGTCAGTAGTAGAGCGCCAATATCTACTTTTCTCTAAAAGTACGTCTTTAAACTTAAATCCCGCGTCTTTCTGGCCCGATGTCGGACAGTTTGTGATTGATGACGACGGACGGGCTAGGAACGGTTGCGATGATAATACTGGTAGAAAAGTTGCGTCTGAAAAAACAACCTGGAGTGACTGATATGTTCAGGGAGGACGCTTTTAAAGTTTATCTTCAACTTTGTTTGCAAACCAAACTAGATTTGGCGATATATCGAACGCCTGTCTGGATCCACGACCTGGTTGGCTGATTCCCGTTCTAAATAATTTAACTAGCCAGATGTGCGTTTGGATGCCTGTTCGTGCGCAGTGTCTTACGGGCGCGCAAGTCTCACACAAAGACAAAATGATGCTCAAAATGTGCAAGAACTCTTTTGGGAATGGACTGGGCCAGTTCTGAATTTGGCAGTAGTTGACATGTTCTCTGAATGAGCATTACCTTACAAGTGTCCTCTCACCTGCTTCGATTTATCCATCTTGTTTTCAGTAGTGGCTAAAAATCAGTGGGTTGTCATAATTTCCTAGGTTTACATTCGGGTAGAAAAGACCTACCAACTGGGCCTGTATTACGCCGTCAGTTATTGAAATGAGTCGCCGAATAAACCGCTACTTTGGTAGCCTGCACATACTCTGTTCTTTATTGCTCGAGTTTTATGTTGACTAGTAGATCAAAGAGCATAAGGCGACCATTGCGACAGCCCTGTTTTCGATTTGAATTTTTGAACGACTCACGCAATCATTCAGCGTCAGATGCCAACGAGTCTGGCGCACAGCTAGCATTGCAGGGAGGGGTGTGCATCAGCCTGCCCTTTTGTCCCCATGAGCCCGCGTAGTTATTTGCCTGTGCCTAGCTGGGGGTGCCGGAGACAACTGCTGGGTGGACGTTGCGCGCTGCCCTCTGGTGAGGTTTCCAGTCTATAAGGTGTGTTTGTATCGTCGAGTGAACTTTGGGAAGCTGAATAGAACAGTTAGTCGAGTGGGCGTCTGACGACCATGGTTTTTGCGCCTGTCTTGCCGTATGATCATTGTGCCGGCCCGCGATCTCGACTGCGCCAGTCAGGTGCTGTGCGTCACCTCTGCTTTCCTACCCAACCTTCAACCCACTAGCTGGTGCTCGACTTCTTGCCCGTGATTGTCGGCCGGTTTTCGCAGCACAGTTGCATTCTCCACAACTACGTTTTAGATAGTTTGTAGTGCATAATTTCTCCGCCCCTGACGATCGGGTCTTCGGTCGCATCATTTGATGACGAGTCGGTTTGTAGACAATTCCAACTCAGAGTAACTACAACGTTCACGCGACGACCTCCGACGTATGCAATAATTCACCACAATGTGGATTGTTTGACTTTCTCTTCTGTAACTCTGTAGTCGCCCCACTCGATGGACTTCCGTGGTAACCCCCAGCCATGAGAAGGTTCAGTCCGGCTTTGTTGACAGTTGGCATACCGCAATGAGCCTCCACCCTTTGGTAGGGCGTGCATGCATAGCTCATTTCTTATATCAGCGGGTAGATGCTGTTAAAGCGTAGGATCTGCATCGTGTTCATCGATCGTCTGTGGGCCGTTGTCATCAGTTGTCTTCTGAGTGACTTGGCGACTGACAGTGGCACTTACGAAGGCGAGTCGTTTGAGCGCCTATTCCATAGTGAATCACATATCTCGACTGATACTCGAAACTCACATCTCCGCTTCTATCGCAAAATTATTGTTCGTTTTGTGGGCACACATACAAAACCCCTACATGGTCGTATTTCAATGCGGCCACCCGATTTCAAGACAAGGATACCGTAATAGGCGAATTCTTGTTTCCCTTATTGAGGTGGGTCATCAAAACGTAGACCTTTCAGCACAGCAGTGCGATTGAACTGAGCCGCAAAAAGTGTTCCATCAAGGCTGGAACAAGAATCCGGCATATGCGAGCCCCTTACCGTGTGGTGCAGCGGTTGAGAGAGGCTAGCCAGACAAGTGTGCACTACCACATCGCCTTTAGTCCATTAGCTCCATGAAACCAATCAAGCCTAGATTTTACGCACCATCTGCGACCACAGACAGCGCGCCTTTCTGTAGACGCCAGCAATCTGGGAAACGCCCGTCAAACCAGCGCATTCGGACAGCTTGTGCCCCCCAACACATTGATGGAAGTCCTGTCGATCAGACTCAAGTGCATGCTGCCTTTGATCACCGGTCCACCCGCTAGGACCAGGCTGCCACCCAGCGGGTTAGTGACCCAGCCAGTATACTTATACTCACGAGATGCCTAGATCAGACACGGAGATCTAGATTCGGCAGCCCACGAAACAGACCTCTTGCGGATTATAGGTTAGTGAGGTCTGTTCGCTCAGTCTATGTAACTGTCAGTGTTTGATTCGCAGACTACTAAGGCTCAGGATAACAAGGGCGTCCGAACACAGCTGACATGTTAGTTGTTATTCAGCGACCATTTCTCCTCTCGAACCTTGTAGCCTTTCTTATTTTCCCTGCCAACGAGTGATTTTGCACCTCGCTGTTTAGTACTACACCGCCGACGGAATGCCAACTCGACGCATTGATCCGGGCGTCTGTGCACTGTGCACCAACATCATGCAAAACGACGATGTGGAGAAGAAGTACCGACTAAACTGTTCTCATGTGTAAGTGTCGCTGTCCTCCTAGCCTGAAATTCATTTTTATACTTAAAATCCGAAGGCACACCAAACGCTGCAATCCGCCGACGTTCATCACGACAGACGCAGACTTTTTGGCAGGTTTTTTAAACTTCAGCTGTTTTCAGTTGTATGTAAGACCAACAGGAGTGTTCAGCAACTGTGATTTAGTCGTCCAGTTCGTACGCCGACCATAATCACAGTGGGCGTTAACCCCGTCGCAGGAACCAACAAAAGTTCGTTTGTGTGACATCTTAGGGGAGCTTATCATTCTGGTGTCGGCCTCCGTGTGTGGTTGCAGACCTTATCTGTGGGACAGCGGAGAACACTTGTGCAGTTAAAAACGCACTTTTAGATCGCTGTCGAGGGTAGTTTGGTACTGCACTAGTATGGAATCGGACTCAGTGCCTTAAAACAAATGCAAACTTTCTTGTCACCCACGAAGACCGTCCCCTTGTAGCCGTTAGAATGTTTTTTTTCGACTAAACCACGTCGGTCTACTGAAATCAAATCCAATATCATAGATGTGCATCTTTCCGATTTTATGCGGCTAGGTAGTGTACACACAGAATCGGCGCGTTCCCAGAGTCCCTGTAGCACCTAGCGTTCCGCGATTACACTGGGAGACGTATGACAATGATCGTGAGCACGGCTTCTCTGTGACAAGTCAATCCTGCTAAGCGAGAAATTGAACTGATGGCCTCCACGACTAACTGAGAGCGTACAAGGTTGAAATCATTAACTTTCACATAAGCGAAGGTCGAATAAGGGCGCTGTTCAGTAGCCTGAATCTGATGCCTATTTTTACTTCCAAATTTTAGCTTCCATGAATTTTGCCTGCGCGGGTGGTGCATCGTTGGCAAGAAGGATATCTGCCCCTATTGCAAGGAGAAGGTCAACCTAACGAAGATGATTAAGAACCCGTATCCTTTTAATCTATTTTAGGCTATTATAAGTCGTTCATGCATGCACTTTTACCGAACAAATTTGAGTTGTTTCCCTTAACGCGATTATCTCTGTAGGTGGGAGAAACCCCACATCCTGTTTGGTAATCTCCTGGACGTGATTCGATACCTGATCGCCTGGCAACCCCTCATCCTATTCACTGTCCATGTCGTCATTTATCTTCTTGGCTTGAAATGATTGTCCCACGGCCCGCACTTGCGGAATAAATTACTTTGCCCTCTCCCCTGAGCATTGACAGACAAAATAAAAGTGTCTTGCTTCTTCCGTGCCCTCTGAAGATCACGGCGAGGCCAAAAAGCATATATGTTAGTAATCTGTGGTTTATTGTAAAAAAAAGTATTTACATTGGCAAATGAACTGCGCTGGCGGTTGGATGTCAGCTTCTCTATCGACCCGGATCGGGGGGTTGTGCTGCCACGCGGCAGCTCTTCTGGAACTCCTCATCTAAATGAGAACGGGCAACGTGTTACGCAGACTGTGGACAACAAAAAAGGGAGGGACGGCAATTTGCAGTCCTCGTAAGGTTGGCTATAAATGTTGGGCTCGTAGTAGTCTGGCTTCCAAAAGCCACCGTGTCAATCCTCACGGTAAACCCCATCTCCGCCCACCACACTTCTTTTGCAAGCAAGTATGCATTCTTGACACTACGAACTGATTTCTCAGACAACTTAATCGCTTGTGGAAGTAACCTTTGGAGTCACGACCCCTGGCTGACGCGCGAGTCTAGAAGTGCGTTTTTATAGCGAGAAAAGTATGTGCCATACTGGCTTCAGTCTTGTTCCTCTTCCACCATGCACAGTGTCAAGTCTAGATCAGGTCAGTTGAAGGTGAGATTGGGTGGAGTGGCCGACGCAGCGCGTGCGTTCACTGAGGTCTAGGCTGAGCGGAACGGGTTTTGGGAGGCCGCTGGTTGAGCAGGGTGTATGAAGACCTGGCTGGTCTTGGAGACCTGGGTTGCACTACCGTCGACTGATAATCATGGATATTGTACTCCCTGGACAGAATCGGTCCGCAGCAGCGATGCAGCCGTTACCGATAAGGACTGCGAATTCTGTACATTCCACGCTTTGTGTCGACTGAGGTATCACCGTTTTTCCGTTGATTGCCAATCAAAGTTGGTACACCCAAAAGCTGGCTCCGTGGCATGTCTGCTCCACTTGTCGAGTTCAGCGCACAGTCATCGACGGAGAGGCCGCTTATCCCTCCAGGTGCTTATGGCATAGTTAAATAGCTTCCCCATCGGCTGGATAATTAGTGTTGACAGCATACATCCATCAGTAAGCCCGCAACGTTCGGGTGGGTACGCAAATATGATGCCAGTTCGTCCCTAAAGTGCGCGTTCATGTCGCAAAGTTGTCTGGTCATCAGCGTTGACCCTCGGGGCATTCATAATCGAGGTTCTCCAGAACCCGTTTCCATTAATGATGCCGGAGGCATATCTGGGGTCGATCATTTCTTGGAATTTTCCTCACAGTTGCCGCGTTGATTTCACAGCGTTCCCGTGATTTGCACTGTCTCAGGTAGATATCCTCGTGTAGGAGAGTAAATCGAACAGTTAAGTAGGGCTTGCAATATGTCGGATGACCTCGAAGGAGAAAACTGACGATTTTATCCACCTTGTCAGCCTCCTTTCCGCTTGCGCACGTGTGCACTCCTCACGTGTGTGAACTCCTCGGGAGTTACTCCCGGCTCCAGACCCAAAATAGATGAGCATGCGGGAAATTGCGCCTGTGAATCCTGAAGGACAGTGCATCCACGCGCAGGGTTTTCCGGAGCGACTGTGACTGAATTACCTTTAATGTCTCCCGTCGGGTCGTGTGCAGATAAAAGCTTCTCGTGGCATGCTTCAGTCATCAGTGTCTTCATCCTCTTCGAAGCGCAACTTTCAGTTTGTTTTCCAAACTGGAGAGTAAACATTTTCTCGAAGATAGGACAGCTGCAGCCACGGCTCACGAGACGGCTACTCATATTCACCCAGGCTCTACAGGATTGCATGTCGCACCCCTCATGGGGAGATGAAGTTCGAAGTAGTAGATTATGGCGACGAAGACCTGCGGAGCACCAGTTTCACTCTCTCCAGTGCCATCCTGACCAAGTGGCAAACGCTTGGAGATCAAACAGGACTCAAAGGTTGAAATGGCATAAGATCCCCGCCTTGGCATGACCCGACACGGCTGGTCTCCCCCGACTAACCGAACCAGGTTACATGCAACTCCACTGCGTAGGGTGACATTCTGAGAAATTAGTCTAGTCGAGTCCTCAAGCCAAATCGATTGTCGGAACATAGCCGCTGAGTTGAGCAGTTTTTTGGAGTCGCAGACGAAGGTAGGCGTGAGGTATCTCGGTGAACAGGGCACTCGGAACGACAGCTAATTCAGCAGAAGTGACGTCCCACAACAGTTCGGTCGTCGTTACCGACACTGTCTACCGCGCGACCTAAACCACGATGGACAAAGTAGACTTGCGCCGTGTCTGCCGCACTATACACTCTCTGGACTCGGTGGAAGGACAAGACGGCCGGAGGCGGGATGGGGCGCAGCGGATGGCAACGCCGAACAGCCCGTCTGCGCGTGGCACACGTACCAGGATTTCGCCAAAAACGGCGGCTTTGATCCAAAGTAAATGGGAGTGCCAGTTTAGAAAGTAACCACTATAGTTTAGTTCTCCGTCTTGAGGGGGTGACCGCGTTACTCCCATCTGTTGGCGGCCTTCTAAGCCACAGCTTCTAGCACACCGTGATAGTTTGAAAACGCGTCAGATTGTTCATAGTGAGGAATATGCGTTGAGTGCCATGGAGACCGAGTTCCCAGAGTTGACCACACTCTAATCTCTCTCCCGGGCACTAGCTCGCTGTCTAAGCCGATCAGCAGTCTGATGCAGAGATTGGGCGCTGACTAGCAAACCTAGACATTGCCAATTGCCGAACTACAATACCTCCGACGGGTCTTCAAAGCCAATGGTTACCCGCGCAACTTCGCCGATCGGTGCATACGCAAAAGGGACGAAAGGCCTAACCGCACGGACACCAAATCTTGGCGGGCACTTCCGTATGTCAAGAACGTTTCGGAAGCTGTCGGCCGCCTTCTCGCACCACTTGGGGTTGGAGTGGCACACGGACCGGAGGCAACCATCAGGCGTCTGGTCATGAAACCGAAAGACCCACTGCCACGGCCAGAAACGTCTGGAGTCGTTTATCGGATCTGGTGCAGTTGCGGACAAAGCAACTACGTCGGAGAAACCGGAAGACAGCTCCGAACGAGAATGGCCGAACACGCGGCAGCGGTGCGCAGAAATGACGCCAGCTCTCAAGTTACGGCTCATTCGACGAGATCCGGCCACACACTCAAATTCGATGAGGCCGAAATTCTCGCAAGAGGTGACAACCGCGTGAGCCGAGAGCTACTGGAATCATGGTTTACTGGCCCCCAGTCCATCAACAAGTGCAACGATCTTCCCATTCCATACTCCGTACTGAAACTTCGCCTAGGCGGGGTAACAAGCCATGCGGGGAGCGCAGAGGTGAACACTTTTCCCAACACCGGGGTCGGTGCGTCAAATGGTCGAGCAATCATCACGCCAACATCCAACGCACGTGGTGAAATTTCAGCAATTATCGACTCGAATGTCGGCCATCAAGCAGTGATCACACCACGTGCGACGATCTCGGATGAAGGGGAGAGCCGTGAATGTTCATAGGTATGCGGTAGCATGGCTACTGCATCCTATAAATACCGCAGCCCCTTGTGCAGCAACCACCCGTTTCTGCTTTTTGTCTCTGATGATGGATTCGAGTAGGAATCCGAAACGTCAGGCTGATAAAGCACTTGTCCCGGCGATCGTGTCTCCTTCTTCAAAACCTAGACATCCCGTATGCATGTGCATCATCCCCGCCCCCCTAATAGGTCTTCTCATCGCATGCCTAACCTTACAAAGGGGTATGAAAAAATCACTGATAGTTCGGCCGTCGTTGTCGACGATGTCCACTGTATGTTCCACAGCAAGGTGAGGCAGAGACGATTACTTACGTGTGGATTAGTTAATAGTGATAACGGACTTGCATAGCATCTACCGCACTCTACTTCCCCCACCTGAGCCCGGTGTCAAGACAGGAGGCGCGAGGGCAGGTGGATGGCACGGTCGAACCCGCACCTTCGCGCTCCACTCCACACTCCCCGGTCTACAATAAACCCCAGAATTTTAACCAACAACAACAACAACAATGGGGTAGTGGCAGGGGTCCGAGTGTGCGCGACGTACGCCGGAAACCGGGTCTGAAATCTTGGCATTTGTTATGGTGCGCATTCCGATAACGCCTGCCAGAATTCGGCATGGCTTCCGTCTTGGTCCAGCGCATCTGCCACGTGGTCCGTTTGGGGCGCACATGATCACACTACGGGACAACACACAACCACAGGTATACCCAAAGACCGACAACACAAGGCTGCGAAGAACCGTAGGCTAGAACTAGACATTCTCCGAGTCACACTTGATATAAAAGTCGGTGGGACAGTGGCGTTAGCCTATTTCTGAACAAGTAATAATGCCCGAAGGTCAAGCCGCAGCCTTCATTTTCTACCTCGGTGAAATGAACGTTTCTCGATGAGCCGCGAAAACTCCCATGACAATATTCAGGAAACCAGTTGGCGAGGAAAAAAATCTATTATTCCAACGTTAGAAGATCGTACACATGTAGTAAGAAACGCTGGTGCCCGCAGTTGTGCGCGAGTACCCCAAACGAGACCTCTTGTCCCGTTCTTAGCAAATACACACCTCCAAGTCACTGAAAACCGGCGTCTGTATACAAAAAGGCGCGCCTTTATTAATAGCTATCGTCGAGCTATGTTGCTTCATGTCAACACGACTCGCGGGCCTTTTTGTGTCACGATATTTACATTACTTACCGTTATTGTCTGGAACTTCGACTCTGCTGAGAAGTCTGTATCGGCTAGTTGATATCCAACTGCGGATGAATCAGATGGAAACCCTGCGCCATAAGTACGCCAGTACGACTAGGTATTCCTTTTAAATCGGAATCACACTAAGGGATCTCAGCGAACGTCTCAATTCTTATCTTGTACCATAAAAATGGAGAGGCGACCCACCGTCAATATCTTCTTCCACCTCATGAGGTTTCTCCTCGATGCCATCAAGGTTGACAAGGGGGTCGGAGTCGGCGT